TCTGCCCCCTGAAACCATGCAGGGAAACCCAGGGTTAGCCGAAGGGGTGAAAATGATCAGTATTTCACGACCAGATTTGCCAGCCAGGTCACGAATGTGCCCTGGTGCCACAGGACATTTCCAGTGCCCTCCAGCCCATCCAAATGAATGTGGGTAAATGTGTCTTCCTAAGAGGTTAAGCAGATTTAGCCAATGATGCCTCTTTCCCATTAAAGAATAAACATTGTTGACTCAGTACCTCATTGACTTTAGACCTGAAAAGTGGAACCCCTGGTTTGGGACAGCATGGGGGAGGGGTGTTGAATGGTGAAAAGCAGGCACTTTGCAGCCCTAGGTCCAGGATCCCTGGGAAACTGTTTTAATCCCTTGCAGCCTCAGCAGGAATGTATTGTATGAAGATTAAGTGAGGTCATGCGTGTAAATTTTTAGCCCAGTAGGACAGAAGCCACAGTCTGGCTTTTCTCAACAAAAGAGCAGGCAGAAGGCACCTGCTCCGGGCGCAGGGCTGGGCCAGGGCCTGCTTGCTGCAGTTCCTCCAGCTTCAGGGGCCAGCGCGGGGAAGAGCAGCTTCTGGAATGCCTGTGACAACCACCCTTTTCTCACCTTAGGGGCAACACCAACTGACTTCAAGAGCAGCAGCTCCTGGTGGCAATTCCTGAAAGGAGGTCCCTGCTCTTACGGCGCTGAAGATGAAGAGGGGAGAGCTGGGCTCCTCAGAGAACTAGGAAGGGACTACTGTGTTTGACTGTTGTTGTTTTTTACCAGAGATCTATTTATCTATATATGTATTTATTTTTCAAAGCCTGTATTTTAACATTTTATGTGTTAGTATTTAAAGGTGTGAATATGTTTAATCAGCATAAGTCAGTTCTGATTGTTATTTAATTTGAAGATGATAGGTTTTAAGTGTCTCATTAAACTAATATTTATTGGGACACCATTAAGTGCCAGGCACTGTGATAGAGGTGCAGGAGGATGTTAGGAGAGAGGGGACCCTGAGTAATTGGACAGTGAGATCATTACTAGGGTCAAGGACAGTGTGTGCACATCTGTATTTGTACTTGCTTATGAGAATGTCACTTGTTATTTATTGAAGCTATTTCACACTATGTGGTCAACATTTTAATGTTGCAGACCCCTTGGACATTTTATGTCTTGCTTGTAAGGCATAATGCCTTGTTTAATGCTCACAATGCAATGTTCTCTTTGTCTTAGGACAGGGACGTTAAAACTACTGTTACATTTTTAAAAATGACATAAAAATAAAAGCTTTGCAAAATATACTCTGTTTAGATTTTGTTTTATTTTTCTTGGTCTTTGGCCCCCTGCTGGATGCCCGGGGTGTTGTACAGTCAGGTTGTAGGACGTGCCTACCTTTAGCCTGCTCCTGCTGTTCCTTCCCTTTCATTTCTCTTACTCACAAAGGAATGTCTGACACACTACCCTCCCTACGCACCCTGAGAAGCCTACTTTTCATTGGCTTAAAATACAGTTGTCTCTCATACTCACCAGTTCATTATTCAAAATTAGTTCTTTATAAACTTCTGGATGTTTTATAAATATTTTAACAAGGGCTCCTCTTAAATGCTTTTGGTAAGTGGTTTTTCAGACATTTATGCAATGTCTCTTTTTTATGAAGCTGGGAGCAAAAGGTGGAAAAGTGGATTCCCCCTAAGCACNGTGTCTCTTTTATGAAGCTGGGAGCAAAAGGTGGAAAAGTGGATTCCCCCTAAGCACTCAAACAATTGGTGTTATTTACAATAATGATGACCTATGGAGATAAACACTGTAAAGTAAAATATATGACAAAAATAGCAGAAAGGACAGGTAGGGGGATAAATGGATTTATAATACAATATATTTCATAAATTCTTTGAGAAAAGTGTTAGGTTTAGGAAAATTGTACTGTGGCAAGAGTATATTTTAGGGCAACCTCTAAGAAGGAAATGCAAAATTTTGGATTTAAAAATCTGAAAAGGAGATAGAATGGAATACAAGAAAATACCTGAGTATTAAAAGGTGACAGAAATGAAGAAATAAAGGAGCAAAGCAGCAGATGGTACAGGAGAGAAGGGACAAGTCTTTCGTGAAGAAGCCTAATACATAATGTAAGTAGAGCGTTTCTCCTCCTGAAGGGGGGGCTTAATTCCCTTCCTCCTGTGAGTGGGGCCCGGCTTTGTGATTCACTTCCAAAGAAGAGATTAGGAAAAATGAAAAGCAATAATGTGGCAGTGGAGAATTTAACAGACAAAACCTTAACCATGTGGTCAAGATTATACCACCAGCTGTGTTGTGTGAATATCTGTACTCCCCACATGATCACCTCATTTTGATAAATGTTATTATAATGATGTAAGAGTCAGCTTAGGAGATACTGGGCAAAAGGCCCACAGGGAGTCTCTGTAACATCTGTATACATTTTTTCATAAATCTAAAGCTATTCCCAATTGAAAGTTAATTAATTTATTTTTAATCCCCACCTGAGGATATACTTATTGATTTTAGAGAGAGGGGAAGCGAGAGAGAAAGGGGGGGTGGAAACATCAGTGTGGGAGAGAACATCGATTGGATGCCTTCCTTACATGNCGAGAGAGAAAGGGGGGGGTTGGAAACATCAGTGTGGGAGAGAACATCGATTGGATGCCTTCCTTACATGCCCTGATCGGGCGTCAATCAGAGACCTAGGTATGTGCCCTGACCAGGTATGACGCCTGAAACCTTTCAGTATACAGGGTGATGCTCCAATTGAGCAACACCAGCCAAGGCTGAAAATTTATTTTTAAAAAGACAGGACAAATAGAATATCAATATAGTAGACTGAAACCCAACTATAGATATTAAGAATTAAAGTAAATTTAAATGAACAAACATTCCATTTAAAATTCAAAAATTTTGACTTAAATACAGACTGTATAAATAAGACAAAAAATGTACCCTGCATAAAAAGACACAATTTAAATATTAGAACCCAGATAGCTTGAAATTAAAAGACTTGAGTGTTGCCCTGGTGGGTGTGGCTCAGTTGGTGGGAGCATCTTCCAGTGCACCCAAAGGTGTCAGGTTAGATTCCCATTCAGGGCACACACCCAGGTCGTAGGTTCGATCCTGGTCGGGGCACATGTGGGAGGTGGCTGATCAATGTTTCTCTATCACATTGATGTCTCTTTCTGTCTCTCTCTCTCTATCCCTCTTCCTCTCTGCAAAACAATAAATTTTTAAAAATAAGAATTGAGTGTTATATCATAGGAAAACTAACAGAAAGAAACCTGCCATGGATATATTAATGTATCAATTACTTGTTAATTATCAACCTATTATTAATATAAATTATTAATATATTGGTTAATTGATATATTAAAGCTTGATTAATATTTTAGGATGTAAGGAAAGAAGTAGTCTTAGAGATAAACAAAAGTGATTCAAAATAAAAAGGGGGAAATTTTACCAGAAACAAACAATTCTAAAATTTTATGAACCTAACAACATTTATCAAAATATATAAAGTAAAAGGAGAGAAACTAAAAGGACCAATAGATGAAACCATAATTCTAGTTAAAGATTCTAGCACGCCTCTTTAAATAGTTAACAGGCAAAGCAGTGAAGAATCAGTAACAGTATAGAAGAGTGAGCCAACACCAACTTGGCCGAGCAATGTGTGTAGACACTTCACCCAACAATCGCATCAATCATATTTATTTTTCCAATACACAGGGACCTTTTTATAAAACAGCATATATGGGCCATAAAGAATCTACTGACAAATTTCAAAATGTTGAAATGTTACAGAAGTTATTCGCTAGTGATCAAGTTTTGTATGGTTCCTAATTTCCCGAGCTGAACTCTGTGCCCGTGTTCACTGTGTGATACGTTCACTGTAGTTAACAGCTCATCTCCCAGCTTCCCGAATTCTCCTTCCATTACACAGGAAGCGTCAAAACAGGATCCCCACAATGTTCTCATGTCTGTTATAACCAAGCGTGATAAAGAGTATTTCCATGAAGACACTTCCTCTCTTCCTGTGTTTAGACTCCGACACCTTGGGTGGAGCCCGGGCAGTTACACGGGCGGTCGGACTCGCCGGGACGCTTCCCCGCGGAGCAGCAGGGAAGGCTCGCTGTGATCCCAGTCGCTTATTTTTTAATGTTTTTAATGTTTTGTGCTTGGACCAAGGTACAGAGAGCGGACCCCGTAGGCCCAGCGCACCCTTCCCTGCCCCACAGCTGCAGAGGGAGCGGGAGGCCGTTGGCGGCCCAGCGCCCAGGGCGCGGGGCGGGGCGGCCGCGGGCGGGGTTTTCCAGGGTTGCGCGGGCGGCGCGTGAGTACCGGGACGCTCCGTGCGGGTAAACACGGCTGAACTCCTCACACCGCCGCCCCCCGCACACCGCGGCCTGAGCTGTTGTGCCTGCGGAGCACCCGAAAGGCGAGCGGTCCTACGCAGCACCTTCTGTATAATCGCAGGGGACACTTGTGTTTTTAGAGCGTGTTTAAGCGGAGGGAAACGAAGCCACCCAGCCGGGACACACTTATTCACACGCACAGGTGGAACGCGGTCGTTCTCCCCGCTGCACACTCGCGCACACACACCCGCGCACGCACACCCGCGCGCGCACACACGAGCACACACACCCGCGCGCACACACCCCCGCGCACACACCCGCGCACACACACCCGCGCACACACCCGCGCACAGACACACTCGCGCGCACACACCCGCGCACGCACACCCGCGCGCACACACACGAGCACACACACCCGCGCGCACACACCCGCGCACAGACACATTCGCGCACACACACTCGCGCGCACCCGCGCACAGTAATCCCCCCTCCTGCGAGCTCCGGTTCCGGGCGGTGCCCGTCCCCGCTAATCAGTGACACCCCTTCTTACGCAGCGACTCCCTGCGCCTGGGGATCTGGGCGGAGAGAACCTGGCAGAGCCCGGGTCCGCGGGCGGGGCGGCCCCGGCGGC